TCGTCTGATTACGCCACACTAAACACTTCCTGAGGAATCAAATATAAACAAGTCCAAAGGCGGGAGTGTTATAAGAGGGTATGGAGTAGATAGATGGGCTAGAACAAAAACAAGAGTAACAGCACAACTGTTCGGGCAGAAGATTAGTCAAGTGATTAACTTCATTTATCTCTTTGACAAGTTGTAGCTTTGTGCTGAGAATAGAAAAATTTATTAAAGATGCTGACGACGGTGCCGGAGGAACGTCCTATAATGTACCAAGTACATGGTCCGACGCACGGAATTATAACTACTCTAGTAGAGGACTTCGCAAAATGTCCGTCCAACAAAGTCGCCCTGACGGTACTACAAAGTTACGAAAACTAGTTCAGCCAAATTCTATACAACGAAAGGAGACTGCGACCAAACAAATTAAATCCCATTTTTGTCTTAAGGTCTTCAAAAAAGTAAGACATTCCCCGAAACTCATATGCTTCTGTTCTGTACGTTATAGTCCATTTGTAGAGAATTCCATATTAAGTAATAACTAAGCTTAGTGATCACCAACAAAACAAAAAAATGTCGTTTACATTTACGTTTCTCGAGACACCTCTTAGAACATAAAGAAAATTCTCAATCAATGAATATTTTCAAGTTCCGATCAAAAAACTAGTGACTTACAGATAGACCCAATTGGAGGAGGAGGTGGTGTCGCAACCGAAGGGGAAATACCATTTACTGAAATTGTATTCGAGAATCCCAACACTGAATTCAGGCTAGGCAGTTCATCTGAAACCAGCAAAGCTTCGGCGAAGGCCGTAAAGAAGGAACGAGCAACTCCATTGCCCTCGCCTGGTTCGTCTCTAAATGTAACCTTGACCCTATGACAGGCCAGGAGTGGTTGTAAACTTGACCCAGCCAGGCTAAGAGCAGTGGTAGCCGCAACAGTACTTGTTTGCCTAACGAGTGGTTCACGCAGGTGCTGATTTGTCGGAAGTTGAGCAGCACTATGTCCAATTCCTTGACTCTGTGGCTGAATATAACAGGTGCCATCCTGATTGATGTAGTCGATCAGCCCATTGTAGCCGGCAGTTGCAGAAGCTGCCGTCAAAAGCGAGTCAGTGAGATTAGTCTCGCTACGCATGAAGGCTTGATTGTGCTGGTGCAATTGATGAGGCTGGGGTCGGGAATGACTATCTGCAGTGGAAGTCGGCGAAGAAGGACCGAGAAGAGAAGCGGCAGAGGCTGAAGGCAACAACCCAGTAGCAAAATGAGAAGCAAGGCCACAATTTGATTGATCAAGCCGCTTCACGTACTCACAATTGAGTTGCTTTATTGTGTTTATAATAAGAAGGCCACGCTCACGGCCAACCTAAGAGGAGAATAAGAAGTAATGAAGGCAAAACTTTAATACAAATATTTAAGATATACATTGAAAGATGTTGCAGCATACCAAAATAAGTTATAAGAAAATAGCATATTAAGTTAAAATGGAGTAACAAGCGACTAAAACTAGTCCCTAATTTCCTATGTATAAACGGTTATTTCCTAAACAAAAACGAGATACTTACCTCTAATGTAAGATCACCACGAGAGGCGTTTCTCAGACGTTCCATTTCTTTGCGAAACC